AATTTGACTTTCATATTGAAATTCAAAGAGTTTCTGTTTCTCGTCGGATTTATAGCGTTCTTCTTCAATTTTGGTATGTACTTTTTTTTCGTTCATCTTGTTCGATATGCGATATGTGTTTATTTTCATTTTCCGTCTTGGCTTTTCCTAGCTTCTACATTTGGGGCCTCAATTTGCCATTGTTCGTGTGTTTGACGTCTTGACAATCAAAGCAAAGGAAAGAATGAAAAAAAAAAACTTATTCACCGCCGAAAAAACCACGAGCATAATCTTCACGAGCGTTGCGTTTATTTCACATTATTTTTACACAATGCTCTCTCTCACACACACACTCGCCGACAAATTGACGATCTTCAACAACATTTTTTTTTTTGTCGAAATCGATTGTTTACATTGTACAAATGCATTTGCACACAAAGTAACTGACATTCGACTTACAAGATTTGTATTTTGCGGTTGAATCAATTTTAGTTTTTTTTTTATGCCAGCAATGTCGACAATCATCATAAGCCGTCGAGTTTCACGATTTTAAATCAAATCCACTTTTTTCACGCGCAATTTTGATTTGCAAGATGACGGGAGTTTTTTCCTTTCAATAGTGAATCGCATCGATTCGAACATTTTGATTCTTATACACCCTTTTTTGTGAGAGACATCAACGATGGAAACTCATTTCTAATCGTCACATTTAAAAAAAAATCACTGATTGATGAAACTTGCTTGATTTCGGGAGCTACGATTTCAACACCGAATCAAAAAGTTAAAAGTTAATTAAAGTATTGGCATTGAATTAGCTGCGATACTCAATTTTTTACGCAGTTTTTTTTTGTTCAAAGTGTGATGCGATTCAATAGAATTTTAACGAAATTTCTTTTGGAACGAAAGTCATCGAAACCCTTTTCTTCGACCGTCAAGTCAATCAACGCTTCTATCATTCAAATGACAATATTTAAAATTGAATTGTCCCCTTGAAAGAATGTTTTGAATAAATTTGCATGGAACTGATTTGGAGACAAAAGAGACACAGACACAAAAAAAAGTGTATTTGATTCGAAATGAAGAACCGATCAAATCCAGATGTTTTGTTTCACGAATATCGTGGCCCGTGTTTTTTATTGTCACAGTTTTCTTCTGGTTTATCGCATTGTCATATGTCGTTGATATTCCGTTATTTCTTTTCTATTTTTCTTTCTTTCGGAGAGCATGGGACAGCGCGCTGTTCCATATTTCATATCAGTTTTTTTTCTTCTCTCGATGGATACAGAAATGAAATGGTTGGCTTTATTTCTGTTATTGTAACATCTCGTGTCTCTTAACAATTCATGATTGTACTGTATTCTAGCACACTACAATCGACGATTATTCTTCTTCAATATGTACATATCGTCGAAAATTTGCCCAATTTTTCTTCTTGAACTGTTAAAACTCCCATGTGTTGGTAGCTTCACATTTTCTTTTTATTTTATTTTCAGATGGTTTTTCTCTGTTGATGTTTCGTGTGATATTCGCTTTCTCGTTCGAAAAATAGAGCAAAAATTGTGTTAGATTTCTCCGTTTCTCTCTCTCTCGCTCGCTCGCACCGCATTTCTCTAAGAAAAAAAAAATGGGAAAGAAAAGCGGCAACAATGAAAGCATCTTGATGTGCATAAATAATAAATGAAATATGTACGAAACATGCGAAGAAGAGAGAGTATGTTTGTGTGTCTTGTATTTCATGACAACGCCAACAAGATAAATATGAAATAAACTTGGATGAAAATCCAGGCAACATAATGTACCAAGAATACTGACCGTTTTGCTGACGTTTTTTTCTTCTCTTCTCTCATTGACAATGAAAGCCAATGCACAAAAACAACCCATATATTTCAGTTAATAAAGATTGGCAGTGAAGAATAGGCGAATCAAATAGATGAAAGACTTATTTAGACTGGGTGATCCCATATATTTACCAACGGCACATATACACATATTTCTTAACAAAACGACCAATTCGCACATGCACTTCATTTGTCTGAATGTTGTGCGCTTTGTGCCATTGTCTTCGTTGCCATCGCCACGACTGCCACTGTTTGCGTTCTCGAACATGAGCCTAGGCTATTTGCATTTTGAGCATATGTGTTGTACATTGGTTTTCGTCTGTTTTCATTAACAATCCTAGTCTCAACATGATGGCGGCAAATGTAATGATTTTTCTGCGTTTTGCTGTCAAGAAAATAAATTATATGGATCTCCGAATCGAATGTGATGTGCATTTTCATTCGATGTATCCATGTAGTATCAAGAGTGTTTCGTTCGGTTTGATTTTTTTCCTTTTCTTTTTGCGCCAAAAAAACCATACTAAGCATTCGTCGCAAACAAACAGAAAAAAAGTGTCTAATGTTGCCAAAAAGTGACGACAAAGGCAATCAAGCCTTTTCTGGATGGCTGGAGGGCGGATATCTCGACTTCAATAGAAAAAAAAGAGACAAAAACCGATACGCCAATAACGGTGGTATTTTAAAAGAACCAAACAAAATCGAACCAAATTTAATGTGCGCAACAGGCATTAGACGGTACTCGAGAGAAAAAGACGCCAAGAAAGAGAGAAAAAAGGCAATGTCAATGGCTGATCCATTTTAAAAATCGATTGCCATTTTATTTATTGTGTGTGCGGGTGTTTCGTTTGATTTTTCCTCCTTAGATAATGCTTGAATTTGAATATTTGATGTAACAATTGTTTTGTTTTCGTTGTATTTCCTTTTCTCTTATTTGTTTCGGTTGGCAAATGATAGCATTTATCATTCAGTTCATCATTAGACACAAAAGTACACTTGAGAGTGAAAAACTCCTCTCGTTCAAGACACACACACACGACACACACTTTTTCGGTTCTTTATCTAAATGCACAAACAAAATTCAAATCGTCACCGTCATTGTAGAGGGATGAAATGTAAAACGTGTCTCAAGGATTGCAAACGAGCCACCTTCTTTCTTGTTTCTTCTTCTTTTTCGACTTCTTCAAAACAACAAGTTTCAATTATTCGTCGAATTTGAGCCTTGAAAAAGATACTGAAATTCAGTCATTTTTAATGCCATTTCCGTTCTATGGTATCTCGTCTTTCCAAATAACTGGCTTATTTCGATGTTTATTTGCCGCAACATGCACGCAATACCGTCACATATCATGTCATGCACTCTTCGTTTCGTTTTTATCTATCACATTTCTTGAATGTAAACAAACCCTCCCAAAAAGAAAACGGAGCCGAATAACTTAAGTCTGATGGTTATATGCATACTTTATCTATGCTTGTTTTCAATCCGTCCATCACGTTTATTTCCATAGAGACAGTGTATGCGTTTTTTTTTTAAGTTTTACTGTCGTTGATGGTGTTTTGTTTGTTTCTTTGACATTTCTTTTCATCACTATTATACATACGATGATATGTGTTCGTTTTGGCAGAAAAAAAAATGTTTTCAGTTGTTGTTGTTGTTTTTGTCGCAGTGCATGTAAAATCAAATCCATTTAATATGTATTAGCATTTCGGAGAGTAAAATACCTTCCGATTTGATTATCTATTTGGTGAAAGCATTCAATTCAATACATACATTTGTCGAGTAAATAGAGAATGATGCACGACGGCTGGTGCAAAATGCGTGCTCCTTCAACTCTATCACTCTCAGTTTTCCCACTCCTTACTATCGAGCGCCTTGAAGATGTCAAACCTTTTTTTTTTGTTCCGGTTACTTGTTATATGTCTTGCATTCTTTGAGTTTCCTCCCTTTATCTTTTGCAAAAACTCGTTGTTTTCTTCTTTTTTTTTGTTTATTTTTATTTGTATTTTATTTTATTTTACGGGTGTTGATGCCATTGCTTGTTTGTCATTTTCTTTGTTCACACTTGATGTTGATTCGTTATTGTAGCGATAGAGCTAGAGATACAGAGAGAGAGAGAGAGAGAGAAAGAAAGAGAAAGAAAGAGAAAGACCCTTCTCACCATCATAGTACATGGTGTCTATGTTAGCCTGAATTTCAACTTCAAATCCGATGCTATTCAGATTCAAACAGAATAATTCTCTTTTTTTCTCTTTGTGCCTCATTCATTCCCTTATCGTTATTTTTATTTTCAATTCTGCACTTTTTGACGTGCTCTTGACTCTCTTCCTCTTATTCTGAGCTCTTCCATTTTTACTATTACTTCATCGTATTCCGTCAATTCAATGGCATCACATGTTAAATAGAAAAGTAAACATACGCACCACCGACACATTCCCTTTCTCTCTCTGTGTGTGTGCGCCATCAACCACGAAAATGAAAGACGTGAAGGACAACATTGACATTACACAAAGAATACGAATCAGTGTAAGCCACATATATCTCATTCAGAAAAAAAGGAGAAAAATGTAAAAAAGCGCACATTTCATATCAATGCATTGGTTTGTGTTCGCTCGTGTTGGCCACACCAATGCACCATCACTTTTTCTTCATCGTATTGAATAAACAATATTTGCAATTCAATCGACGAAAACGAAATATTTTCGCATTGTGTGCTGATGTTATTGCCATTTGTCAATTTGGAGTTGGTTCAATTCAGACGGCATCAAGTTGTTCGATATTCGTTGTATGACAGATTTCTGATATTGGGCCAAAAGCCAACAAAAAAAGGTCAAATGCGAGCCAATGAAAAATTTGAACGACCATATATATCTAAGCATGTTTCATCAATGAAAAAATCATATAGAATTTATTTATTTATCGTTTTCATTTTATTTATTTGTAAACCGATATGAATGCGATGTGTATGATTTAATTTAAAGCGAATGGAAGAAGAAAAACACATATTCACAATCTCTCAATATTCTTTGTGATCACAAAGTTTATTCGGTTTTTTTTTGTTCAATTTTCAATCATTTTTTTTAAGTCGTACGAATTATAACATTTAAGAAAAATAAAATTAAACAGAAAATATCTAAATGAAAGGCATCTTGAATAATTCATTTTTTTTTCTTCTCTATAATCTGCAGAACGGAAATTCGAGTTGATTGAAATAAGGTAAGCTGATTAATCTATTATCATAAGTGAAGTTGTCGGTGTCAATGTTCTTTTCGATTTTAATTTAATAAATCTGTCGAAAAGAAAAATAACATGCAATTAAATTATTTCTAAATTGATAATATTTTTTGAACGATAATGTTTGTGGTTCTTGAGTGGTCTCTCTATTATCATTAAATTATCATTTTTATTTGTGTTGGTTTGAATTTTGAAATGAAAATGGCTCGCGTAATGGTTGGTGTATAATGTTTAAGTACAGCATGGCCATTTTCATCCATGTGAACGTCAAATGTTGAGACTTTATTTTTCTCTTTTTTTTCAATAAACAAAATACTTGAAGCAGCAAACACAGTTTTCAAATTTAAATAAATGGTCGAAGTGTTGAAATGAGAAAAAGACTAAACATAAACTTAAATATCAATTTTAATTGAAAAGTTTAAATGTGTCGGTAAAATTCATATAATCGATTTGTTAACACAATCATTAACCCATAGTCATTTCGAGCAAACACATGTTGAAAAATGCACTTTTTATCATTCAACAACAGAGAAATTGAAACTAAAAGACACACACAGAGAAAGAATGGTTTGAGATACGGAACGGTTTGTATATTGGAAGACACTCGAAGTGAAAATTGATAATAATTAGAGATGTAGAACAATCAGGGAACATACGGTGAAAGAAATATTCCAGACGCCGTCTCACGATTACGTTCGATTAGTTTTCATCTCCGATTACATTTTCAAGTGAGTCAAGTCTGAATAGATTTCCATACGTCGGCATTTTATGTTTAACAAAATGTTTTTATCAATTTGTTTCAAGACAAAAAAAAAAGTTATATATTTATATTATTTCGTATCGTTTACCCGTTTCAAGTGAAAGAGTGAGAATGGCATAAATACGGCGGATAATCGTAAAGGCAGTCATTGAAATTGATGATTGACATTTCGATAAGTGGCTGATATTTTTTGTTGATTTTGAGCCACACACATGCAGTATAAGTTCTTGCAATTCGGTCGATATACTCGAACACCGTATTCAAATCATGCTACATTCAGAACAAAACCTTTGATCTCAAATCTATGTAACAAATCGAATGAAATGTAGTACATGGAATAGAATTGAATGGAATAAAGTCTTTTCAAGTTATGTACGCGTACACGGATTTCGTTCACTTATCAGTCTGGAATATGAATTATTATGAATAAAGAAAACGGATCAGAATATTTAATAAGCGAAACGCACGAAAGGTGAACGAGACTCTTCTTTTTTTTGGTTATTTTGTTCGCAAAAAAGAGCGAGAAACACGTGCTCAATTACGTATGCGAGCGAAAAATCAAAACAAAATCATCACCATCAAATACAATCGGAAGAGAAAAGAACATATAGCCTCCGAGCAGATAATCCAAAGTGTGTATCATATGACGTCCTAAATATGAGAATTTATGTGCACAAAAACATTTAAGCAGGTCACGAACCAAACTCCGATACACTGTCATGAATATATATTTTGTTGTTGTTGTTGCTTCTTCACTAAGTTATTGATATCGAACGAACTTTCTTGAGATTCGAATAGTCACATATTCTATATCGTCGATCTAATTTTGGATTTCTCATTCGTTCTTCAATCTATTGTTGAATAAGTTCAATTTTTGGTTTTATCGCCCGACTTCAACCAAATGACATGAATTAAATACATCGGTAACTCATTTTATTCTCTAACATTTACTTGTGTTTCTCATATTTGATTTCAATTTTCTTTCGCTCCTTCAAACTCGGATGTGGCTCAGTGTGGCTATAGTTTATTATTAGTCGACAAAATGATTTTTCCTATATCATTTTCATATCAACAGCAATGGTTGGAATTCGTTCTTTGGCTTTTAAAATGATTTTCACACCGGCTTAACTGTATGTAGTTGCTACAGTATTACGAACATTACCATCATCATGAGCTGCAGCAAAAAGATACCGAAACTGAAAATCCATCTTTAGAAAAGGTGCAAAAAACACATACACACATATTGATTGCAATAGAGAATAACGACAAACATCGTTCGGATGACAGTGTCAATAGACATGACTTACACACATGGCATCGGTGCGTGTGAATGGCTTATGAATCACACTACAAAATGCGCTATTGAAAATTCATAGCATTCACATCAACCGGCCGGATTTTGGGTTTTCCATTTTCACACACAGTGATTCACCGTAAATGTATCAACATACATATTCACGACAATATCCAACTTCCTTTAGGCTTTTGACACATATTTTTTTTTTGTTCTTGTTGTTGTTTCTGCTACTGCTGTTGCCCCGATTATCCTGTGAATATAAAAGAGCCACAGGAGTGGGTGTGATGGTAAATGAAAGAGAAGAGACAAAGGACGAAAGTGAGCGAGAGTGGGATAGAGTGAGAGAGAGAGAGAAAAAGCAGAAGAAAGGAAGAGAAAGCACGGCGACAGAATGCAAGAGGAAAAAATATTATGGCAAAAGCCACTAAACCAGCCAAAAAACATACATACACACTCTTTCGACCAAAATAAATGAGATTGAGCCGTCGTCGATTGGCAATATCATGATCGATTGTTGTTGTGCACAGCATCTATTCATTCAAGTCAATTCGTGCGTATGCAAGCGCCGCAAGCCTTCATCAAAATGGATATTTTCGCATGCGGTATTTTTTGGCATGGCAAGGGTTATAGCAAATATCTCCACATCTGTGCCATCTACATTATTCGGTTTTGGGTGTTTTTCTTCTATTGAAAATACAATGAATAAAGCAAATCATTATTATGGATCGAAAACAAAACGCTTCGACAATTCATAAAATTATTTAACGAGTTTCTTAAGAAGAAAAGAAAAGTGACGGAGTTTTTGCCTTTTATTCCTAAACAATTTGCTGAATTTTGAATTAAAAACGACAAAAATGCAATTTAAATACACACACCGTGTAATTTTGTGGAGATGCACAATAGAGAAAAACCAGTTTCCAATTATAAGATAAATCGAAATTTCCACTGAACTTGTACGTATTGAATTGGAATGAATCAGCAAAAATTGTGTGCAAGATGATGTTTATTTTCGTGCAATATATATGACTTGCTGTCTTTTGCATCGCAAAAACTTAAATTCTCACGTTTTGAGAATGAAAATAAACGAAATAAAAAATATATAACGAAACTTATTAAAATCACCAAGAAGAAAATCACAGAGGAGAGAGAGAGAGAGAGAAAGAGACACTCAAACAGCCATTGTCATGGGGGTCCATGAAAATCAATATTAAATAAAATTGTACGAAAAACTTTTCACATTCTTTCTTTTTCTCCTTGTATTTATATTCGCCAAAAAAATGTATGTGAAGACACAACACATGGTTTGCCGTGTGTATGCAAAACTTGGTACACAGTACTTTTCATCACTGCGATTGAATTTTACCCATCGCCGAATCGTTTCGAATTTATTTCCGGAGATCAATTCGCATATGGGCACAATACATGACATAAAGTCAAAACTCCGGCGTCGCCAACATATTTGGGCACGATATGCCATTCAATCGTTCCATTGAATTTTGAAATTCTCGCATCCGAATAAAAAGGAACACTATGCATACATGAGAACAGGGGAAAAATACATTTGATAAAGACGAATATTCAGACGCATTTCCACAATACGGTGCCATATATGAAAGCCAACAAAAACGAAACCGAAAAAAAGAGAGAAAAAAAAGAAATAAACAACAAACGTTTTATCACTTTACTTGCCGTTTAAATCTATTTACATTCATTTTATTTGTCGCTTTGGTATATATATACGTTTTTCCAATGGGCCTCGTCGTTTGGTCGATGCTCGATGATTTTATATTTTTTCAAGTGTTCAAAATCGATTCCTCGCATACACGCACCACACCAACCACTAGATGCGCTACGGTTTCGATTAAATTATCTATTTAAATAGAGTGAATTTACAGCAGTTGTCCCAGCATTTCACTTGTTTTCGGTCTTTTTTTATTGGGACTCTTTTTGGTACGAAGCGACAGGCACTTTATTTGGCTCTTAAATTTGAAAGATGAAAAGAGACAGAGAGTGAGAGAGAGAGAAAATAAAAATACACGATTTTCGAGAAGAATGAAGAGTTCCTTTTAACACAAAGCACATCATTTTTTAACCGCATTATATATTGAAGACAAACGGTGAATGGCGCATTTCACGCACTCAACATCCATTCAATTGATATGAAATGCTTCAATTTACTGACAGCTGTTTGCCGTTAAATGCCTTTTAAAAGCAAACCAATTTCTTTTCAGCGTTTTGATGTTAATTAGGAACGTATGCGACTAAACTATTTTCACACCAGATTTCGAGGTGAAACAAAGTAAAAAAAAAAATAACGCATCTCAAATGTGCGTAGAAACAAAAGAATCCCATTTATAAAATCACTTCTCTCAATCAAATCCCAACACAGACACATACGTGTACGCTGTTTCGTTTGGGTCAACAAAAGTCACACGACTCAATTAAATGCATTCCTTGTGGCATTTTTGTTTGTTTGAGATTCGAAAAAAAAAGTGTTTGATGTTTGTAGGAAAACACAGTTGAAAATCTCTTTTGAAAATAAATTCAAACAAAAAACTAAAGCAACTCAAAGTCTTTTCGGCGACATTCAAACGAATATTTCTCTTTTTTTTTTTCTTTCAAATGAATTAAAGAGATTTTCACAGAAAATACCAAAAATTAACAGACTAAAGTGAATTTTTCTTGTATATACTTTTTGCATTCAATCTGCCTATAAAATTTCACATGACACTGTAAAAGAAATGGCTTGGATAAAAAGATAAATTTAAATTAGAAAATATTCTAAATGATTCTGTTTGTTTAAAATTAATTAAACATTAAATATAAACAGTTTAAATTGAAAGCATTCTTTTGAAAAAAAATGAATGAAAACATTATTTAAAGTGGATTTGTTGAAAATAAAAATGGTTTCATTCATAGCCATAC